GTAGGGTTTGTAGGGTTAAAGTATAAGGGCTTGTGCAAATCTATTTGTTCCTATTGTCTATAAATCCCATGAAAACACCGAAACCAGCAAGGTTTGTGTTTGTGTCTCTGACTTGGCTACTTTGTCAGTGACAGCTCAGGCCCAAGATGTAAATCTTTAAAAGCAGATCAATATAAAATTTCACCTTTAAAAAAGCCCGGGTTATTTCTTAAAACAACTGGGCTCTGTAGTTTTTAGGGAGAGCGACTCAAAGGGGAACAAATAGTGCTTAATATACATATGATGCTCTGACAGCACAACACTTTGTATGTGGGGGTGAGTGAAAATAAACTACAGTGTGTGTGTTCATGGTAATGAAGGCACACAAAATACTTGTTGTTTTGTCTTGCATCTGTACAACATACAACACCAGGCACACGCACAGACAGACCCTAGGTGGTGCTCAAATGCCTGCCATTTTATCTTCTGGCTTGATAAGTGCCCTTTTTGTAAGATTTGTTTTTCTAAATTAAAATATTTTAGTTTTTACTTTTTTCTTTTCTAGGTGTATATTAGTTTTCCGTAAGAATTATATCTGAACTACTCTTAGAGAAGTTAGCCTACATTATAGTACTTGCGGTAGTCTGTCATGTATTGACCTGAAACATTATTAGAATATTGCCAAGTGACAAATTGGTCATTAAATGTGTGCAGAAAAAGTAGCTCTGTGGTCGTGGTCGGCTACTATACTTCTGGTGGGGCTCGCTTTTGTGATGCAGGGACCATTTTCTCTGTGGAATTTAATAACTTCATGGAAATCTGTCGAGCATTATCACATCTATATGTGTGTGTGTGAGCATCTACATCAATAAAGAAATAAGTACATGAATACTGTAGGTATGATAACTATGTTTTTTATATATATCTGTCAGTGAGGGGGTGTGTTCCCTCAAAAACTTTAATATCCCATGACAACTAAAAGTAAAGTAAAGACATATTTGAAGATAATTAAGGGTACAGGATGAGCCTGATTTATTGGTTACTGGCAGATTTCTTCAAAAGGTATTGTTACTGGTATCAGCTGTCAGAAAGCCACATACAGCAGGGAACAGTCAGCATTTTTACTCTGTCATCTCTTTCTCAGGGCTCTTGAGAAGTCATCCATCAGACAGTGAAGCGGAGTGCTGCGACGTCCGATGGGACTCCAAAGTGGACAACCCTTCAGGTGGGACACTAAAAAGGACTGCTTCTTCCTGCCACCCTGAGGTGGCCTCTGTCACCTCCGCCGCCACCCCGAAACTGTGCAGCGGGCGACTGAAGATCTGCCTGCTGGCCCTCGTCCTCCTACACACTGTCATCATTATTTCAGCCTCCCATAATTCAACATCAGTGGGCGTGGCTGCCATTTTTTCACCAGAGGAGAGCGCTTCTAATGAAGAGTAAACCTTGGATGTTGAATCAAGGCTGGAGTTTGTAAAGAGTGATGTCGCTTGGGGAGGATTATGGCTTTTACAATGTCATAGCTGCCAGGAACACAACTGGCTAGTCATGCCGGAAAGGCCTCTACAATCTGCCACCGATGAACCATCAACCACAGGAAGTGGGAGGGTTTTAACTGGAGCTAAGGGTGCTGGGATTGGACATTGAACGAACCGAGATGTTTGAGAACCACCCCCCTAAAGAACTGACCTCTTACCACTTGAAACCTGCTCATTGTTTCTATTCTGTCCAAATGTTTTCTAGCATATTGTTCCTTCTCCCCCTTCCTCCCAACTTTCTTTCCTTCCCTCCACTGGTTCCCCCTGTTTTCTCTGTGTGTGTGTGTGCATGTGTGTGTGTGTGAATGGATGGCATATCAGATGAAAAACAGACTTTGATGAAGTGTGCACTCTCGCTCATCATTACGTTTAGATTTCTGTGGCAGTTTTGTCAGGTGACAGAATGTTTTGATACATCCCCTGGGTTCTATTCCTACGCTCCATCACCTTCGAGGCATCTTCTTCACTACCTTGTATGTGATGTTGCTGAGGGCCTGCTCTGCTCATCCATCATTCATGTGGGTCTCTGACAACAAAATCCGTGTTCTATGTTCTTCTTGTATTTTGTCCCAGTAGGTCTGTTCTCAACCCCTGATGATGGTACATGCCTACACGTTTTAGGACCTTAAGTGCTCTGAGACTGGCTCACTCTCTCTTCTGACTTGTTGACACACTGAGCAGGTTATTAGTGATGGCAAAGGTAGCAGGAGTATTGGGTGTTGCTGATACTGAGCTTAGTCACCATGAAGTGCTCCTGGACAGGAAATGGTGTGTTCAGTTTACCTCAGATAGGAGTTGTATGGCGTTGTCGTTGTTGCAGGAACAACCTAAAACACTAGAGGACAGCTGCATGAAGCCAAACGCTGGGGGCCTCATTTTTCAACCATGTGTAGGCTTGTTACTAGGCACAGAATCTGAATTGGAAGACAATTCCTGTACAAGAATGTAAACAAAGGTTTTGTCGACTGAAATTCTAGCCCACACCTCTTACTATGGTATCTCTCTCTCTCTGCTAGCTGCTCACTAGTCGAGTGTGGTAGTATATGATAGGCCGGGTAACTAGTCACACCGAATCACATTTGATTGGATACATTCATGTAACCATTCCCATATTTACAAGAAGAAAAAAATTTGATTTTGATATAAAAAAAATACTTTAAAGCCCATCTTTAGGCAGATTTTTAGTGTGTAACAATGCATAAATGACTACCTGACATAGGGAGGACACACAAGTAGAGCTTGGAAAAATGTATTTTTTATTTCACTGCGTCCTTAAAGCCCTGTTTCACCTGGCTTCTACAGTGCTGCACTATTACTGTTGAACCACAATTAAATAGCAAATTCTTAATCTATGACGTGGTACAGTGTCAGTATGAATTGATTATTTGACCTCCATCATGCTGTCCCATTATTTATTTACCTCTTGACAAGTCACAAGTGTCAAGTACTACAATTTGGTGTAGCTGGAGTACATTTAGTACTATGACAATCTGCAGCTGTGAAATGTTTAAGGCAAGGCAGTGCTTTAGTGTAGCAACAGGTGCAATACACAAATGTGTGGAGGGGAGGGAGGTACAGGCTGACCATATGTAATATTCTGTTGATAAGCCTTTTGTGCACAAAAACATGGATGTAGAAGAGGTTAGATTTTCTTCTTTGTATATGACAGCTACACTTGGTTTGACAAATGAGGCCCCAGATCTCTGAGTGCCTCTCTGCTGTGGGTCAGATCCTGGCAATAGAGTAGCAGAGAAAACACAGGAGGTGTTGATGTCCTACTTTGTGGCATCTTCACTACCGTCAGCTTGATTTTTCAGCATCATAGAGTGGGCGCAACTGACCACAAACCACCCATCAACCAACTCTTCAGTTAAGCTTAGATGAGCTGATCAACTGCTATCTTTCACAGACTAGTAAAGGGCTGTGTTAGTGTCAGTGTGCAAGGAGCGAGGAGAGTTTTTAAAGGGCTGATCCATCCAATTTTGTTCTGATTTAATGAAATTTATTTATTTACTTTGTATGCCTGCTGCTAGTGAAGTGCACATTGACATCAGGACAGGACATGCAGGGATTAAGAAGAGTTTAAACTCCTCTTATTAGCTAGAGATTGGACAGAAAAAGAGATTTGTCCACTTCTAAAATCTGATACCGTGTGCAACTAGTGATATACCAAAAAGTAAAGCTAAGGACACTGACTCTTTCTAAGGAAGCAGATTTTTGTCCCCTATCCTGGTTGCCTCTAATGATCAGTTAAAACAGATTATTCTTGTTTTTGGCATGAAAACATGGTATCGGTGCCTCCTCTCTTCCCCATTAACAGCTTAGCTTGCCTCACACACCATCAATTTGCTCTTCACACACACATATCAGAGTGGGATGTCACATAGGAGTCAAGTCCACACTTGCCTCTGGTTTGATAGACTTTAGCCCCCAGTTTACTCTCTGGTCGCCGTTTGCTTGATATTCTTGTGTGATGTGTTGTTTCATTTGTTTTCTTTGTTAAACTGTGTTGACCACATTCCCTTGAAGACAGCAGCAGATGTACCAGGCCCACACTTTGTGCTCTGTCCCTTCGATCTCTAGCTGTTCATGATCTGAGTCCTGTGGATCTATGCAGATGAACCCAAATTAAACCCTCCCACTTTCCCCGAGCCACCACCACGACCACCACGACCACTCTCCCCTCTTGTCCTTTCTGTTGTAAATATGTCATGAGGATGTGGGATCACAAAATGGTTAACACCCCCCACCCCCCACTCACCCACTGTTGGAATCTCACTGTGTTTTCTGTTTGCCTCCTTGGTTTTTGTCAGTTTTTTGAGATTTTTGCCGCATTATTTCTGTTGTCTAAAGCAGCGGTGTGAGTTGATGAGTAGGACTAAGTTGGATGTTAAAAAGATGAAATAAAGAGGTCTTAAGAAAAATATACAAAACATGAAGCTTGAAAAAAGGTTGAAATACAGAGAAAAAATGATGATAAAGTTGTCATATTGTCATACTAGAGATGCTTTAGTTTGCTAATTTACTTTCTTTTTTTCTACAAAAGACTTGGATGAAATTATTTATAAAATGCGTCCCACGAGTCATGATCTTTTTTGGACGTAAAACAAATACATTTATTAACATTTTGTTCAAAGGAAAATAAATATAAATTATGTTAAACATTACTGGTGTTTGTGGGGTTTTTTCAGTGTCTGACGATAATCGGTATGCATATATAAGATTTATTTCATAATATTACTTTTCATAATTACACATTTTAGTTCATGTCACTTTTCATGACAGGAATAATTTACTTTTTAGTCTTTTTATGTGTAACATATGACCCCTTGGGAGGTCTATTACTTTTACAATATTAAATCCATATATTTTTAATCAATAACAATTTTTATCTTCAGATTATTTTAATTTAATATAGGCTACATACAGCACCGGTCTAGTACTACGTCAGTGCTGTGGTGCTACCTTGAAACCTTTCCGAAGTTGTGTCCGTCATCTTTAGGAACTCATGTGCTTGGAGCTGTGTGCCACGGACAATTTTCACAGATGGACCGACTGACAAATTGTCGGTCTGAGTGTACAATAAGCTATTCGGATATTGTGTTGTGGCGTTAAACGTTAAAAATATTTCCTTCCTGTTTATGAACTGGCAGAAACTAAACGTTTATCAGAAACGGCAAGTGTGTTTCCGTAGATCCAGTGTGTTACGCTGCGACACGAACCAGAATATAACCGCCATTTGTTTACAATTCGTTAAATCAAGTCACTTAATTCACTATTAGCAGCTCGAGCTGCTAACAGGATCCCGTTTGCCATGGGTGACAGGTTACAAGTACACAAACTCAGTACTCAAGTAAAATTCAAGTAGTTGTCTAAAAAGTACTTCCACTTCAAATTCTTCACTCAAAATGATGATGACATAAAGCGTTTCCTACTTCAAATACAAAACTCCACTTAGAAAACAATGTATTGTAACACTATTGTTGATCCATAATAATACGTCATTTATTATTTAAATATATTTTATATTACGAGTCTGATCAGCAAAATAACTGTTAATTAAATGTACTGAATAAAGAGTAATGTATTTCCTCTAAATTGTAGTGGTAGTAAAGGTACCAGAAAATAGACATACTTCTGTAAAGTACCTGAAAGTTGTTCTTAAGGACTTGAGTGAATGCCCTTAGATACTTGCTCCCCTGTGCTGTTTACTGTGAAGAACATTTAAAATTCTATAATAGTGCATCAATATACACTATACCTACACATACTTATTACCCACCTCTGTACACAAGACACTTTTAATATGTTCCTTGTAAAAATGCCCAAACTAACAGGGACTGATTAAATTCATTGACACTTGTAAATGTTTCATTTAAAATAAACAATCAGTAACTAGAGCATCATTTTAACTAGAGAATCATTATGCTAATTTGATATTGAAAGTTAGGGCGATGCAGCTTTCTCTGCACATCCCCTCTGCAAACTGGGCAGTACCCCTCACTCTTGAGACATTGTTACTTAAAAAATGACAGTTACTCAAGATTCCTGCAACTCTCTGGTCCCGCGTACAGAGTCCTTCCAAAATCTTCCTGATATCAGACAGACTGTGAGAGCTGGGTAATTGTAGCAGGGCACTGTGGGTTCATTGGATGCTAATGAAGTGTAGTATGGTCTCAACTCTACATCTGGACTTCCTGGGAAGTAGGGCTGAGAGAAAGTTGGCAGCTGCAGTAGATGGTGAAGGTTGGGAACTGGATGAAAACAGAAAGGTAACATACTGTATATTACAATGGCATAGGCAACAAACAACATTCTGTCAAGCATGTGAAGGCTGAGATTCTCCTGTCGACCAGCAGAGAGCGGTGTAGCATCATATTTTCATCAAGCCGCCTCTAAACGGCTCATTTAATTTCCTTCACCCTGAGTATAAAACGTCAAATGATTTCTCACTTGTGGGCATCATCAGCTGGATGAAGTATTGATGAAGCTACAAAAAATGCAAACACTCAGGCTCAAATAAAATGATCTCATGTTGCTGGGAGGCTTTTTCAAATGCACGTTTAAGAAAAAACGTTTCTCTGCAATAATCTGTCAGGGCAGATTTGGCCTGTGAGTTAATGTAAAAGTCTGAATTCAATAACATTCACTCCCAGTGGTGTGGTCATTTTTTATATATTGTTTGTTATTTTTTACTCCATGCTTGTACCGTTTTTGGTTACCTCTGTCAAGGAGGATATGTTTTTGGTTCTGTGTGTTGGTTAGCAGGATTACAGACAAACAGCTGGATGGATCAACATACTAAGCACAGGCACTGGTGGGGACCACCCCTAGAAGTGATTAGATTTTGGCTGAAAAAGGTAAATGTCACACACACACACACTATATAAAAAAAAACATTAAAAAACCATACACACACAAAAATCCCATCATTAACAATGGGGCAATTTTTAAAAATTCATATGTCTGTCAAAAGTTATCATTTATTGTTTGAAATTTGACACCCATATGCAGGGTGACTGTATGGATCTGACAGCTATTTAAAGTTAACGCTGAAAACCCCATTTAATATATATTTTCCGCCATAACTTGGCTTATAATGACATTAGAACCCTGAAATGTTCAAGTAAGATGCACAGTATACATGTTTATTGTGCCCCAAGATGATCCAGATCTCCAGATCAAGGATTTTAGGACATTCGGTGTTGTTCTGGATCTCATTTTTCACAAGGGACCCATCTGTGTGCACGAATATTGTACCTTGGCGGAGGTACATGCACTCTCTCAGTGCTCTTGTTATTTATGTACCTAACGGTGGTTTCCATTTTTGGTGAACGAACTAAAACAAGAACTGTCTAATACCTTACTGGAGTCACAAGGTGGCGCCATAGCATCATTTTAGTTCCAAAGCACTGAGGAGACTGGATTTTTCTCTCTAGAGCTGAACACACTGAAAATACCGAGTACAAATAGTTTAATTGTAATATATTGAATTAGAAGAGTTTAAGTTCAAACATATAGAGGGAAATGAGGCTTTTTGAGAGACTGTACAAAAAAAACATGTTACAGCCTAAAACATAGATATGTAGAAATAAAAACAACAGTAGCCTATGTATAGAGTATTTAAATAATGCAATAGAAAACGTGAGGATGTAAAATAAAACTAGCTAAAAATAAAAAGATAATAATGATACAGACAAATAATTTCATCATTTAAGTAAAATAATATTACTGTAAGCACCATCATGTCCCAATTTGCAAAACAAGCAAGGTCTGGATCGACAGTCATGCCATCTTCCACAGCAGATCTCACACATCTCCCACTTCATTTTCACTTCTTCTCTTAACCACATATCAACTGACCTGACATTTCCCCATCTCATGGGCCTCTTTTAACTATCCATGCTGGAAGACAGGAGTTGAAGAGTAGGAGAGACTTCTTGAACTCTGAAGTCTGGTTATGCTGAAGATCCTATTCGTGTCTTCAAAAATGCATTTTCCCCCTGAGACTTTCTGGTTGTTGATATCCATGTCTATCTGATTTGGCAGAAAATCCAGAAAACCACCTTTCATGCTGTTAAACCCACATGACTGGAGGTGGACCATGCAGCTTGTTATTTAGTAGAGTTTTCTCCAAAGAGCTTTCTTGGCAGCTTGCAAATGTTCACCATTTTCCACTGATGTCCAGTAATCATACAAGGTGAAATCCATTACTGAGGAGGCAGAGAGACCAATTTCTCAACTCACAAAGTCATCAGTCAGCCAGAATGCAATGCAGCTTCAGCTATCTGAATTGTTCCATCTGAGGCTGTGCTCACGCTGACACTGAAGTGGCCATCTGGACGATCCAAATCTGCACATAGTAACCACAGAACACAGACCTGTGAAACACCATTTAATTTGATACAGTTCAGCAAAACCAGATAAACTACTCAATTAAAAAATGAGCAACTCTTGCCAATCACTGTAATTTATGCATTCTGAGCACCATAAAGTGGCTCATCTTTTAAAGACTGGACTAGCCTGCACACAGTTTTAAATAATTCAAATGCTCAACTAAATGAAAATCCTGGTCATAAAAGGAATTTATAGCAGCACTAGTGCTAAAATCCAAGATGGCTGACAAGTAATCATGGAGATGCAAACAAGCAGCAAAACTAGGGGTGTAAGAAAATATCGATACACTTGAGTATTGCCATGTTATACTTTGCAATATTGTATCAATTCTCAAAAACAGTACTGGTTTTTAATTAATAATTAACATGCCATGTAGTGCTATGTTGTTTGATGTTACAGGGACAGTGACAAATGCAGATCCCTGTTCTGCTTGCTTAAAAAAGTAAATGTTTTTACAGGAGATTTTATGCATATGGTGATGTGTTGCTTATTTTATAACATGAAATTAGATTTTTTAAAATGCAATATATCACCTTGTTTACAGTATCACAATATGCCAAATTGTAACCCCTGTATCATGATACATACTGTATCATATTGCCAGATTCTTGCAAACACACAGCCCTAAGCAAAACTTGTGTTTAGTAGTCCCAGCTCCCAACAAACAAAAAGCCCAGTTTGTGTTTTTGCAGTCCCTCCTACATTTCATTGTCTTGTTGCTGTT